TTAATTGTCTATTCTAAGTGAAGTGGATATTCTGAAATTTATTTGACTTTCTCCAAAGCCCTGGTTACACAGAATAGGATTCAAAGAACCCAGTTCTCTCAGAATAACAGTAAGCATTCATTAGGTTTATGTAATTCCTGACCATGGATTAACTCAAAGACTGTGTTCTTACAGGAAAAGTGAAACAAGGAGTTGAGCAAAGAGCCAATACCTGCAATCACTATAGACTATCTGTCTGGGTTGATCTGACCAAAACAACATGGGATTCTCCCTCTTGTTGTTGAGTCATTTTTCAGTCATGTCTGATCTTCCTGGTCCTATTTGGGGTTTTCTTAGCAAAAATACAGGAGTGATTTGCCGTTTCCTTCTCCAGCTCATTACATAGATGACAAACTGAGGCACACAAGGTTAAGTGACTTACCCAAGGTTATAGAGCTAGTAAGTGTCTGAGGCTGGATTTGAACTCAGAAAGATAAGTCTTCCTGACTTCAGACCCAGCACTCCATCCATTGTACCACACAAAAAAGATAAAGAAACCAAAAAAAAAAAGAAAAGAAAAGAAAGAAAGAAAATCAGCATTTTTTTTTATCTGGGATTAATTAGACAATTGTTTCAATACATATTCAACTCTTTCTAGCGTTGCTTTATTATATCTTGGCATCCTCATAAATCTATGGAGCATGTCCATCAGTATGTATCTGGAACAGACAGATAGACAATGAATGAGTTGGGACCAGGACTGAAAAAGAGGAGAGTAGGCTGAATTGCCTTTGGAAAATTACAAACTCCTGTTAATGAAAGCTTTCTATAGAAACAAAAACCTGCTTTTCGAATACTAAGATTCTTTCAGTATTTTTGTATGTCACTGAGGCATAGAATACAAAGTCTCCAAAGACTTAAGGTCTCCAAAAACTTCAAGATGGCTATCATATAGGGGCAAATGAAGAGGTACATGGCAGGAGTAAATAAGCTACAACATGTAATTAAAGAAGAATTTTAATGAAGAACAGGAATAAAAGGTGTTATTGAGGGAATGTATGATAGGAAGAAAGATGGTCCTGCCACATAGTAAAGGAGACGGATGACAAGGGACCATTAAGTTTGCTCCAAAGGTACCCCTATGATATCAGGAAAAAGTAAGAAAAACCTCTAGCCTCAAGGCTACACCAGCTCCTGTGGCAACCTAATGAGAGAACGAGGACAAGAGTTGCTCAGGATTGGCAAGAAGGGAAGAGTTGCTAAGTGCATCATAAAGTGACCATTCTGAATCAATGAAATTAGAGTTCCATTTGAGTACTCCCACAAAACAGGGCAACAATACCAAGTGCTTAAAAATATTTGCTGTGAAATTTCTTGGAAAAGTAAAAAGTGAGGTATTTTTAAGGTATTAGTATTTATAGTTAATGAAGAAGAAAGATGTCCTTGTGGTTGGGATGGTGGATCTGAAAGTTCTTGAATGTAAATTCATGGCTATGACTTATCTCTTGTTGCTGTGGGAATAAGAGATTTGCTTCCAGGAGTCCTCATTTGACAGTTAAGAAAACTACATGGATGATGTCATCTGTAGAATAGCCTAAAGTTGTAGGTTTAATATCTTATTATCCAGTAAATGCAGGAAGTATAGTAGTGGGCTTGGCCTGGGCAGTTTCAGCAACGAAAACAAAAAAGAAAAAGGCATATTGAACCTCTGCAGGGACACAACAGAAAGACAATAAATATTTATTAAGCACTCACTATGCATTAGCACTGTGCTATGTGCTGGGAATAGAAATACAAGAGGAAAAAAAGACAGCCCCTACCCTTGAGGAGTTTACCTTTTAATGTTACATAAAACATATGAAAGGGAGCTGAAAAGTGGTGATAGTAGAAAGGGTAAGGAACCAACATGGGCACATGGTGGTGAAGCATGGAGCAGAGTCAAAAGGTGAAGAAAGCATGGCCAGCTTGAGTTCATGCCCAAAATGGAGGCCCTGAGATGAACTCATTCATAGATGAAGGAGGCCATAGGGGAAAAGCAATATTCCAGGGTTAGAAGACAACTGAGGCATACAGTCCAAAGAGTCACATATACTTGTTTTGGTCTTCTTAATTTCTGTTCCATAGGTACCAACCTGCACTGGAGTTTCTTCATGCAAAAGTTCCCTACAGGCCTAGTCCCTATTCTATTTCTGGTCTATTTATTAAAGAAGTAGCTTGGTATACTGGAAAAACAAAACCCTAGACCAGCATTTAAGAAACCTAAGTTTTTAACCCGACTTGGTGTATGAACCTGAGAAGTTCACTTAACCCGTTTCTCCTCTTCTATCAAGAGGAGATTCTTTCATTGTCTCTTAATCTCTTTTTTTGCCCTTCAAGAATCAGAGAATAAATCAAAGGCATGAGTTTATATTCAGAGACCCTTAGTCCTACCAACCACATCCCTCAAAAGTCTGAAAGGGCCTCCTTCCTCTTCATCTATTACTTTATGATTCTATGTCACTTTATACTTTTCAAAGTGATTTCACAGCAAATTATTTTAAGCAAACAAATTATTTGAATGGTTTTGCCCTGTTTTGCAGAGTTCTGTTCTCACTGATTGTAGTAGTCTCTCTGTGATACAACTGCTTGTAACTTTTCCATGCTTTGACATCCTGGATGATTCTTGTTTATGTCTTCCCATAAGAATTTCTACAAGAGGATTCATGGACGGAAGAACATCCATGGTGCTAGAGGCCTTTCTCTCTTTCTCCTAATATCCTGGAGATATCCATAGAGCACTCTGACTGGTGACTTGTCATCCCTCTCCTTCACTATGTGGATGATCCATCTTCTTACCATACATTTCCTTGATGACACCTGTTCTTATTTAAAGTTCCTCACTAGTTATATGTTGCAATCTGTTCACTCCTACTATGCACCTCACCATTGCCCTCTATATAACAGTCATCTTGAATTCTTCAGAGACTATTATATCATGTATCTCAGTTTCTTTGTGTTTAAAATCAGGGGTTTAGCCTGACCTCTACAAAGTCAGAGGAAGAACAGAGATTTCTTTGGAGGCAAAAGTTGTTGGAAAAGTTGATTCCTTCTAGGTTTGAAAATCCAAAAGTAATTCACTGGAGGCCCTGTCTGTTCAAAATTGCAAAGCTAGAAATAATACCATTTGCAAGAATAACTAAGCCATGCCAATAGGATTCCCTGTGGTAGCTCTTTACTGAAGTACACCCAACTAAGCCAATTGATTTGAGGATTGGAATATTTTCCTGACAACTCAAGGAAAACTCACAGAACACAAATTGCATTGGATTGGCTGGGCAAGGATGGGACTTAGAGGATTATTAAGGAAGATGCAACTAATGGACTTCACAGTTTATGAGTGACTACCAGAGCCCTTCGTCAGAGCAGAAGCTGCTCTCATTTCCATAGTCAAAACCTCTCTTTGTGGGGAAGAAACTACACATACCCTGAAGCTGCTCCAACTTTACACAAATAACTCCAGTGACAGCTTATTATGTGACCCATACCTCTCACTCCAGCACCAGGGAGTACTGGGATCATGTGAGCTCATATTATTCCAGTGTTAGTCTTTTACTCAATAAAAAGCCTGCTGCAATGATGATGGACAAGTCAATAAAAGACCTGGATTAAGTCAGTGTATCTTGGAGGCCTGTAAGACTAGGGTGCATTTAAAATGCTTAGAGGCATGTGGGTGACCTAATACAGGCACATCTCACTCAAAGTAAATTTATTTCAGCATTCAGATTTACGAAATAAATACAGATTTCTTTTATTGATTTGTTAGTTTGTGTGGCTTTTCAAAATTATTCACCACAGGATTTCTGTCGATTGTAAATTCCTTCAACAGAATTCAAATCTTAACAATAACTGATATTTATGTAACTGCTTAAGTGCTTACATGTCACTTGATTTTCCTTCTCATTTGATCCTCATAACAACTCTGCAAGACAGGTAGTATTATTACCCTCATTTTACAAGTGAGGAAACTGAACCTAAGAAAGGTTAAGTTGCTCACAATCATTAATCACATGATTAAGAAGTGTCTGATAAAATCCAGGTCTTTTTGACTCAAAGCCAATTGTCCTATCCACTACGCCAGGCTTCCTCTATAATCTGATTCAGTGTACTAAAATTCAATCTGCTCACAATTATTAAAATATGTCCCCATCACATAAAGTGAGGTGCCCTGTAGCAAGTACACTGGGTTCACTAGGTCATGGCTCTAGAACCCAGAAGGACCTCTAAAGTTGTCAAATCTAATCCCATTATTTTAAAGATGAAGTAGTTGAGGCCTGGGGAAATTAAGAGATTGATCCAAGGAACACAGAATCATAGATTGAGAAATTAAAGGGACCTCAGAGGTCATCTAGCCACCCTGTCGTTTTACAGATAAAGACCTAAGGCCCAGAGAGTTTAAGTTACTTGCCCAGGGTCACACAGGTAGTGAATAGAAAAGCTCGGATTTGAAGGGAAGTCCTCTGAGGAAGGACACCCTAGAGATCCTCTTGCTCTCCCCCTCCCCTACTGCACCCCCCAACCCTTTTAGAAGAGATCAAACTGAGGCCCCGAGAAGGTACACCGCATGCTTTATTAATATGGATTAAAGATGCTTTGGGGGCAGGGAAAAAACCCACAATATTTAAATAAGATTGGATATGAATAAAAGGCAGACTCAGCTCTGGTTTCACAGCAGAAAATGAAAGGCAGATTTGGCATTAGGTTTATTGAATCTTCGGTTAAAAAAAAAAAATCCAGCCCCCTTTCCCCTGCTTAAGGCTGTTTTGCCCTAATTTATCTGGTCTCCCTGCGTGCACTGCTGAAGCGAACACCATCAGAGTCGGTCTGCCTTCTCTTTCTACTGTTCCGGGAGCCGGCCTGACCCTGGCGGAGGCGGAGTGCATGCGCTCCCGTCACTCCCTGCACACTGTAGCCCGGCTCACCACCGAGCCGTAGCATTTCAGTGGGATGCCCAGTGTTTTCTGAATGTTCTGGTTAAAATGCTCCTAAATACGTTTATCCAGTGCTGTGGCTGGACCAGAGTCGTTAGCATCCAGCGGTCCCCTCGCAGCAAACACGGTAAACCTGAATTCGACTCGCTGTCTGATTCCAAAGTTCAGCGCTGGGAAGGGAATGGTTATACTGATAAAAATAAAATAAAATAAATTGAAATGGTGAAAGAATCGTCATTGCCATCGTGTTGCTGCGGCTGAATTAATTTCCTTCCAGGGCTATATGCCACTGATAAAATAGGATCCTGCCTAGGAGCAGAACATTTGAGCTCAGACAGAGAAGGGATGGATACTGTCCATGATTTTCAGATTTCCTGGATCCTCAGGCGAAGCTCACCCTAGAGCATTAGGCTGGAACACTGTTTCCTATCCAAGACCTTAAATTAAACCCAAATCCAGAAACCTTGAGCCCAAACCCCAAGGCTCTGTTTAGTTTTCTGTACTCAGTTTGGCCCCTCGCGTTTTTCAGTGAAATTTTTCTACCGTTCAGGGTGTCCCCTCCATCCATATATACTGATGCCCAAACACCTTCTTTTCTCTTATAAGAGTGGCAAGTGACCACACAGGATTCTGAAAGCACACATTCAAGTGAGGACCGGCTTCTTTTTCCACTTTCTACTGTGGGAGATTCAACCTTCGGCATTTCTAAAGCCTTGGGAGAAAAGATAATGATTATCTCTCTTCCTGACCATTTCAACATCAGGGCTGAGCCATATATCTAGGGTCCAAGACATATGTTTCCTCCCTGTGGATATTGAGCTCTGTGCACCTGGTATATATCATTCACTGCTGCTGGGTTTTTTAACCCTCTTTTCCTTTATTTCGTTCTGGGTTTTTTTTTCCGCCTCTGCAATGAGGCTGGTGAGCCATTTAGAGGGTGGAGATGAAAATGAATCTTTGATTCAGTCTAATACAGTGCTGAGCTTATTTTCTCTACAATGTTTAAATAAGATAAATGAGCCTAGACAGAGTACCAATCCTCTGGCATATTGGAGTGCCAAGAGCCATGTAGAACAGTCACTCAGGAGAATGACTTTCAAAGAGTTGTCCTACCAACCCACCAGCACACTTGCCTGAATGTGTACTTAATGGAGTAGGTGAGCTGGGAAACCCATCCATACTATTTAAGGCCAAAATCAACTGAGGAACTTGTACTCTCTCAGAATAGGCAGACTTGGGTTACTCTGAGAATTGGAACTGATAGATTGAAAATGGTGCCTGCACTTTCTCTGGAATGATAATGGTTTTGGTCATAGACAGCAAGGCCAGACCTGTAATTTCATTGACACAGGCAACTTTCAGGTGAGGGGACAGCACCTTCTTCACAACTTGCATTCTTAGACTACAGCAAGAAGATTACAGAAAAGTAACTTACCTAGGATCAACTAGCCAGCATACATTACTTAAACACAGCTATTCCTGCCTTTGGGGCCAGCTTTCTCATAATAGTAATAATAATAGCTAGCATTTATATAGCACCTACTATGTGCCAGGTATTGTACTAAGCACTTTACAAATGTCATTTCATTTGATCCTCAAAACAACTCTGGGAGTTGAGTTATTCTTATCTCCATTTTCCAGTTGAAGAAACTGAGGTTAAGTCACTTACCCAGGGTCACTCGGCTAATAAATGTGTGAGGCTATATTTGAATGCCTCTTCCTGATTCCAGGCCTGGCAGTTTATCCACTGTACTACTTCTACTCTACACCACACTAGCTGCTTCTATACCACACTATCTCTTAGTTTTGAGTGTGCAGAGGGTAAACTCATGAACTGTTAAAGCTTGTAGGACCTTTGAGATCATCTAGTCCTGGGGTTTGTAACCTTTCTGGGCTTTGTTTTTGTTTTTGTTTTTGTTTTTTTGTCATGGACACCTTTAACAATTTGGTGAATCCTATGGACTACTTCTCAGAATATTTTAAGTGAATAAAATATAATACATAGAATTACAAAGAAAATCAATTATACTTAAACATAGTTAACAAAAAAAATTTTTTTTTGAAACAAGTTCATAGTTCCCAGATTAAGAAGCACTGAATTATAGTTTATATCCCTTATTTTTCCAAATGAGCAAAGTGAAATACAGAAAGATTAAATGATTTGTCCACTGTTTCATAGCAAAAGAGGGACAGGACAGAGACTAGGAGGCTTGCCATTTAAGTACCAGGTTCAGTGCTCTTGCTTTATTGCCATATACAAAAAGGACCACAACACCTGGAAAACATGCTCCCCACCAATTAAGCTATTGTAATCAGACTATTGTTCCTCAATTTTGAAATTAGGATCTCTTTAGATCATCAGATAGCAGTAAACTTGGAGAGACACAAAATCAGAAGCAAGCACAGATCATCCCGAACTTGTCAAGACAATGAAAAAACTGACCAGAAATTAGAAGCAGTAGGAACAAAACTCTACCTCTCTTGTTCCCTCCCCATCTCCTTCCATCTTGGGCTAAAAGCACGGTCCCAGTGTTGCTTGTGGACTGTGCAGCATTTCACAAAGTTTAGACAGGTTCAGGCTCCAAGACAATGACTCAAGATGGGGGAAATTGTTCCTGTAATGGAGTTTTCAATTTATTGGTCAATTTCACTTTGATTTTGTGTCACTGTTAGCTCTGTTAAGCCTTCAGCTTGTATTAAATGCTCTAAAAACGTAATACATTTTCAAATATTTTAAATATCACAGATAATAATTTTTATTTAGTTCATAATCGCCTTATGGTAATATAAATAAAAATAATTTTAAAAGACTACAATGACTCTTAGCCTCAGCAAGGACTTCATAAATAGCTAAAATCTGCCACCTTCTGGATTTTTCTGGGAAATAAACAAGCCAATTTTCTTTACCAGTAACTCAGTCCTCCTCCATACATGCCGAGACAGTGCCATCTAGTGGACATGCTTAAGCTACGCATGCAGTAAAAAAATCACAAAGGCGCTCATTTATATGAAAAGAGATATTCATTTGGAATAATTTACTAAAATTACATTACTAAATGGAAAACATATTCCACACAAGGCACTTATAGCAGTGTCTAAAGAATCCAAATTTTATAATGAACAAAAATAAATGAAAACAAAAGGCTATTTATGTCCAGGTCATACCAGACATGTATAGAAACATATTTTTAATTCTTTTATTTTCCCCAAATTAATCAGCTGGCAGTGAAGTTGCATAATTCTTCTGTTTTAACTTAATTAACCCATTCTATTTTTTAAAACAAAAGAAGAAAATTGTATTACTTTTCAGCCTGGATATTACCTTTGTCAGATGAAGAGATTAATATAGATTATTTGGCAAAATACTTACTCTTAATATTACAGCAATAAAAATAACATCAATACTTTTGCACTTTTTATAACCTTAAGGCTCTGTCCTTTAAAACACACATCAGGTTTTCCTCAGTGCTTGAAGAGAATACATTTTGGGGAAGCATGCATGAATTGTAGCACCTGACATTATATTCATTACATATTCTCATCCCCAGGAATCACACTGCTAGTAGAATAGAATATGGGATCCTATGGGCCCGTTCTTGTGATGTTTTCAAGAATGTAATCTCATTGCTTCCTCTCTCGTATATTTTGAAATCTCTCTAGAGTCGTCCTTTAAGAAGATGAAGGGGTTTGGGAGATTTTTTTTCCCTGAGTGTCAGACAGAGTCTCCACAGCTGTGCTACTTTCATTTGGGGTTTGTCAGGCATTTGACAAACTATCTCAGCTGTTGTAAATCTACTTTGTGCTGAAACATGGTAAAGTATATACTGTAGATTCTCAATATGATAGCAAATTTAGTTGTGGAAAATCAAAATCAGTTTCAACTTTTTGCTGACTGAGAGAAATGGGGACAACATCCTTTCTCATCTTTCATTTCTTTCCTACTTTCTAAGCCCACAGATAGGGGTAGTTAGGTGATGCAGTGGATAGAGCGGTAGTTCTAGAGTCAGAAAGACATGAGTTCAAACCCAGTCTCAGATACTTACTAATTATGTGACCCTGAGCAAGTCACTTAACCCTGTTTGCCTCAGTTTCCTCATGTGGAGAAGGAAATGGCAAACCACTCCAGTATTTTTGCCAAGAAAACCCCAAAATGGGATCCCAAAGAGTCAGATGTGACTGAAAACAACAAAACAACAACATCAGCTTCTTCTTTGTTCTAACCCTTTTTCTAACCCAGCTGCACTGACTGGCCAAATCACTGGATTTTTTTTTTTAATCACAGTAATTTGCTTCTGGCTTAAAGCTGCTGATTGGCTCATGCTTTGCTGATGGACAAATAGCCTCAAGTCACAGGTTATGTTTGGTAATGTTCCACAGAGGCAGCTGTAGAAACAGTCATTCCCCTGATGCCCTCTTTATTTCATGGGTTTGTAGCATCCTCTAGAGAGGATCAGCAGTTAAGCATCAACCCAGAGTTTTCTTGGCTCAAAAAAAAAAACATAAAGTTGTGGCTTTGAAGCTGGCCTCAACCCCCAAAACACTTCTAATATATTTGAAGAACAAATATGGAAGTCCAGTTTCAGCCCTAGGTCTGTTAGGAAGGGAAAGATAGATACCAGGCAGCCAGTCCCAGTGTCTTAGTGAGATTCTCACTGTACGTAGAATTTCAAATCTTTATCAGTTGAGGTTAGCACTTCCTTTTTCCCAACTCACTGCCTCCATGAAACATTTCCATCTATATGGTTCTTGAAGCAATCCCTTCAATATGCCAATCTCTCTGCTCTCCCCCCCAACCAACCTCAATGTATACCCCATTGATTACCCCTATTTCCTTTACCCTAATTATATGAACTGAAGTCACATTTTAGAGAGGCAAGGACTATCACACTGAATATGGTCCAAGCATTGCTTATGGACCAAGCAGTAAAAGGTACCCAAGAAAGCTAACTGGAGCAGTAACAATCCACATGGGAAGGGTAAGTCACAAATGGTAGGAACTGATAGTTGTAGCATATAAAGTAGTATTGCCATTATTCTTATTAGCAAGTAAGAAAGATGGTCAATTATGTTGAAGTTACAACCACAGAATCTACAAGTAGAAGGCAAGCTCCATGAAGGCAGGGACTATTGCTTTTTTTTTTGTCTTTGAATCCATAGCACCTAGTATATG